GTAGCACTGCCAAGCCTATAAGGATGCTGCAGGTTTTTCTTCCCGAGGTGGAGAACCTTGCATTTTTCAGTATTAAACACCATCAGGTTCTCAGCCGACCATTTGCTGAGCCTGTCCAGGTCAGCCTGGATCACCCACCTGTCTTCTGGTTGAATAGGTTAGCTTTGTCGTCTGGTGTGAAGCCCAGATTTCCTAGCATGTCTTGCAGGAGCCCTACGTTCCCCAGGTACCCTCTTTTTTCCCCCTTTGTATTTAAAAAAGGACTTCTTGTCCTTGATCTGGGTAGCTAGTCCCAGTTCCATTTGATGTGATCGGGTATTTTTTTCATACTTTTATGAAAGCAAAGTGAATTATTTGCTTTACCTCTGCATATCAATGAACAACAGAAATAAACTCAGATAAAATGGGCTGCTAAGGAAAACCTGTAGCTGAATAAAAGGCACCTTTGAGCACTTAAATTTGCAGGGTCATGTGCTTCTGTTACAGGGAGGAACTTCTTTCTTTCTGCATCCATTTTTATTTCAAAATCTGAAAGCAGAGCAATCAAGTATTAAAATCATGTAAGAAGCCTGAATATATTTATACCAGCGTATCAAGAAATCAACAGAATATGGTTATATCTATTATGTTTCTGAATAGTTTACTTGTTTTTTTCCAAGCAGCGAACAGATGCCACTACTGTTTTGACACACCATTCGAAAAGGTGCTTTGAAAAGTGGCTCATTCAAAAGGTCAACATAAATTTAAAACAGCTACTGACTTTGTAACATCAGCCACAAAACATTAAAATCAAACGCCCAAACCAATTCTGCAAAAGAGGAGTAACTCTCCAAATATTTTAGCATCACTTTTCTACAAAATATAGCCACAGATTGAGGAAGTCATTTGCTAGCAAACTTCTTGTTACCAAAATTTTACATTTTAGTGGTATTTAACCACTATACACCAATTTAAAAATTATTTATAGAAATATAAAACCTGATTATAAATCATGGCAATAAAATGGCTTCATACGAGCATAGTAACCATGTTCCAGCTGCACGTTATGGCGAAACTTGCGCGTATCTTGTAGAATTGTCTGCAGTACCTCCCGAACCTCCGTGGATGTCAGCGCTATGGGGAAGGAGGATTTCTGTTGCAACATGGATGCTGGCTCACTGAATGAATTCCTATCTACTTTCAAACACACACTCACAGTGTGTAGCATTCTTTCAATGCGTTTTAGGTTAGCACCACCTGAGAGAAGGAGGGAAAGAGATGCAAAATAAGGCAAACATTGGACTTTTTATTATAATGTGTTATCTCATAAAATCCCCAGTTTCATAGGCTAACATTTGGGATGAGAACAGATTTTAGATTTGCTTAACAAGAGATTAATTCCAATTTGAGGATAAAAGAATATTGTTTCTTGAAAACATATGTTCAAGGATGTTGTTAGTCATCTTGTTAATTCACCATAATGGCCAACAAAATTTTGGGGGTCTTTCATATCTGATGTTAACTACTACTGCTCCTCTTAGCTTGTGATCTTGATCCACACCTCAGGATGCGATTGTGTTAAAGGCACACTACTGAATTCAAGGAGATAATACACCCGAACTACTGCTTGACCTGGTTTTAGAAGGTCACTGAGGACATCCTTTTGCATGAGGTGATTAAGTGCAGCTTGAGGAAAATATCCTAGAATGCAGAATGAAAACACTGCTTTCAGCAAGTCTACATTACAAATCGTGAGGAGGTAGGAACTCAAGGAGCAACTGAGGGCCTCAAAGAACCTTCAAAAAAAAGAAGGGGGAGGGGAAAAAGACATCTTTATATACAAACTTATGAATAAATGAACTCAATATTGTTAATAAAATCTGTATTTCAGATAACATCCCCAAACAGGGTTCTTATCTAGTTCATATAACCAGAACCCAAGTCCAGCACACAAACTTTGAAGCCTATAAGGCAGTGCTTAAGACCACCAGTGGCCAAACTCACAGCTCTCAAATTGCATGAAGATCCCAGAGAGTTTAAACAAAGCTCCTGAAGAAAGCAAAGTAGTTAAATAAAAATGTTCATTTTCATTGTTTAATTTATTATTGTGTGAGAACAGCACCATTTCAAGTTGCTGTTCACACACAATTCCCTTCCATGCCCCTGCTGGCATCACTCAACTACAAATAATGATCTGAACTGGGGCACTGGGCAGATTATTGACTCGAACATATAGGCATATGTGTCCATGTGTGTGTACACACACACGCCCCCTCAAAAGTTGTATGTCCTGGGCCTCTCAGCCATGTCAAAGTTTTGGTTGGGGATAGAAGGGATAGTAGGTTTGGCCACCCCTGACCGCAAGACCTCAG